TACATGAAAGAATGGTATATTTTCTGAAAATTTCCTAGATTTTAAAAATATTGTTAATTTTCAAATTGACATTTTACCACATTGAATTAACTCCAACTTAAATGTATTGTTATTTTTAGATATTTAGGATAATGGAGGAGAGAGGTTATAGTATGGCTTTCTCTAAGTCAAGAATTATACTCAAATATAGACTTTTCCCAGAAAAAGAATTACTATCAACTGTACAGGAACACAATATGACTCTAAAGTCAACTGAATTGTCAAGTTGTCTAGTGCAGTATTTCCTAGGCTTCAATGTACATATGAATCATGTGCAGATCTTGATAAACTGCAGATTCTTATTCTGGAGATCTGGGGCAGTGCCTGCTGATATAACAAGTTCCCAGGTGATATTGATACTGTGGTTCTAAGTGTATATCAAGTAGAGTAACCTGGGATTCTGAATATTTTTAAAGTAATCTGTTGCAGCAAGTCCATCATTTCTAGTTGCTCAGGTCAGAATACTTGGGAATTATCCTGGATTCTTGCTATCTAGCATATGCCCCACATTCAATCTTGTCAGCAAATCTGTATGGATGTAATTTGAAAATAAACTGGAATCTGAATACTTGTCATCACCCTTGCTGTTACTATGGTACAAGCATTGTCATTCCTCTTTAGATTATTGCAGTAGTCTTGCTGGCCTCTGCTTTTCTCTTACTACTCTTCTGCTTAAAATCTATAATCCCATCTCACTCAAAGAAGCAAATGTCTTTACCTGTCTTTAAAGGTATTGCATGACTTGATGTTCTATTACCTTTCTGTCATCTGCTTTTCATCTCTTTCACTCTATTCTAACTGCATTAATTTTTTTCTTTTTTTTTTTTTTAAAGTTTCTTTATTGATTAAAGTATCACATATTTGTCCTCATCTCCCCGTTCCCATCCCACACCCCTCCCCACGCATGGCCCCACCCCACTGTTGTCCTTGACCACTGGTTAGGCTCCTCATATGTTTGCATACAAGTCCTTTGGTTGATCTCTCTCCTTTATCCCCACTCTCTTTTACCCCTCCTCTGAGGTCTGACAGTCTGATCCATGTCTCCTTGCCTCTGGGTCGTTCTTGTTCATCAGTCTATTTGATCATTATTTCCCCTAGATGAATGAGATCAGGTTTTTTTGTTTGTTTCTTGAACACACCAGACATCCTCCCCTCTGTCTTTTAATTTTCATATTTGCTGTTCTTTTTGCCTAGAATACAGTTCCCACCTAACTCTCTCCCTTGCTTCTTTCAGATTGCTAATTCACATGTCACTTTATCAGAAAAGCTTTTTCTAAATACTGTTGATGACATATTAGCTTCTCTGCTTTCTCACTTATTAGCCATACTAATTGTATGGCTTTTTAAAATAATTGTATTATTTCTTCTTCTCAACATCTAATATACCAGATATTTTACTTTATTTGTTTTACCTTCCTCACTAGAATATAATGGCAGGAATTTCTGTCTTAATCAGTTCTATACTTTGGGCATTGCCTAATAGTATGGCAATAGCACTCAGTAAATTTTTGAATTAAAAAAAAAAAAGCCCACAATATGTCATTGAGCCTATCTTTGAATACCTTTATTGTTAGAGTATTCTACCTCCCTTCAGAATAGCCCATTTCATTTTAAGATAACTGCTAACCTTCTCCTTAATCTTTAGGTTCTTACTGCCCTACCTTTCTGCATATGATATGATTTTCAGAGCTGCCACCATTTTAGTCACCTTCCCTGGACATTCATTGTTTTGTTTGTCCCTAAAGAACAGCAGACAGTGATTGAATTGACTGTTTTTAATGATATTGCTACAACATATGTCTGACATTTTGCTATCTGTAGATCCCTCTAATATTTTTATGTTTTCCCATCTTATGTTTAAGCCCTTTATCCATTTTGAGTTTATTTTTATGTATGATGTAATAAGTTGGTGGTCTTGTTTCATTTTTTTTGCATGTATTTGTCCAATTTTTCCAGCACCATTTATTGAAGAGACTGTCTTGACTCTATTGAATGCTCTTGCCTCCTTTGTCAAATATTAATTGAGCATAATGCCTTGGGTCAATTTCTTGGTTCTCTGGTCTGTTTCATTGGTCAATGTGTGTGTTCTTGTGTCAGTACCAGGTAGTTTTGAGAACAGTGGCTTTGTAATATCTTTGTTCTTCTTTTTCAAGATTGCTGCAACTATTCGTGGTCTTTTTGTGTTCCATATGAATTTTTGGAGAGAGTGTTCTATGTCTGTGAAATATGCCATTGGTATTTTAATGGGTATTGCATTAAATCTATAGATTGCTTTAGTTAGTTTGGACATTTTAACGATGTTGCTTCTACCAATCCATGAACATGGTATATTCTTCCATTTGTTTATATCTTCCTCTGTCTCTTTTTTTCAATGTCCTGTAGTTTTCTGAGTTACAGATCTTTTACCTCTTTAGTTAGGTTTATTCCTAGGTGTCTTAATTTATTTGGTGCAGTGGTAAATGGGATTGCTTTTGTTGTTTCTCTTTCTGTGAGTTCATTATTGGTATATAAAAAAGCCATGGATTTCTGGGTGTTAGTTTTGTATCCTGCTACATTGACAAATTCATTTATTAAATCTAATAGTTTTTTTATGGAGTCTTTAGGGTTTTCTATGTACAATATCATGTCAACTGCAAATAATGGCAGTTTGACTTCACCTTTTCCAATTTGGATGCCTTTTACTTCTTTTCTGATCGCTATTGCTAGCACTTCTAGTAGTATGTGGAACAGGAGTGGTGAGAGTAGGCATCCCTGTCTTGTTCCTGTTCTTAGGGGAAATGGTTTTAATTTTTGTCCATTGAGTATGATTTTGACTATAGATTTGTCATATAAGGCTTTTGTTACTTTGAGGTATGATCCTTCTTCCCATTTTGCTGAGAGTTTTTATCAAGAAAAGGTGTTGGATTTTGTCAAATGCTTTTTCTACGTCTATTTATATGATTATGTGATTTTTATCTCTCAATTTGTTTATGTGATGTATCATATTTATTGATATGTGGATATTGTACCATCCTTGCATCCCCAGAATAAATCCCACTTGGTCTTGGTGTATGATCTTTCTAATGTAATGCTGGATCTGATTTGTTAGAATTGTGTTGAGGATTTTAGCATCTATGTTCATCAGGGATATTGGCTTGTAATTCTCTTTCTTTGTAGTGTCTTTATTTCATTTTGGGTTTAGGGTAATGCTGCCTTCACAGAAAGAGCTTAGAAGTGTTCCTTCTTGAATTTTTTTGAATAGTCTGAGGAGGATAGGTTTTAGTTCCTCTTTGAATGTTTGGTAAAACTCTCCTGTGATTCCGTCTAGCCCAGGGCTTTTGTTTGCTGGAAGTTTTGTGTGTGTGTTATTACTGCTTTAATTTCCTCTATAGTTATTGGCCTTTTCAGATTTATTTTATTCTTCCTGATTGTGTTTTGGAATGTTGTATTTTTCTTTTCTTTTTTTTAGTGTCGACAGGAAGTTTAATATGTTCTCCTTTATGTTGTCTGAGTTGTCAGTAAAGCTGTTGAATAAAGGAGATATCAGTATTATTTCTTGGAGCAGAGAAAAAAATAGTGACATTTGTTTTTATGAAACTTTCAACGTATTTAGAACATTGTTAGATATTTAACTGGTGACTTATAAACACTAGTGCCACCCTCTCTGCATATCTGTCAGACCTGCCTTGCCGCTTTCAGATACTTCATTGTCCCCTTGGCTCTGCTCAGCGCCCTGGCCAGCCACCTGGCCATTCAGACTTGAGTCTAGCCCACTTCCTTTCCAATTACATTAAAATTAGTTCTCAAAAATACCATTCCATATGAGTGACCCTCACACTGCATTCCCAGTGAACTAGTTAATCTACTCATTTATCTGTTCAGATTAATTTAACAAAAAATGTGGTGAGCACATGTTGAACACATGGTGAGCACACATCTGACCACACCACTGCGTTCTGCAAACACTGCAATATCCCCACTTGCCACTGAGACATAAAGTCCTAGAAGGAATGTTGTATTTTTCTAAGAATGAATGTGTCCATTTCTTCTAGGTTGACCAATTTGCTGGAATATAGTTGTTCATAGTATTTTTATTATTATTGTTATTATTATTATTTTACAATCCTTTATATTTCTGTGGAGCCTGTTATTGTGCCTCCTTCATTTCTGATTTTGTTTATTTGGGTCCTCTCTTTGCTTCATGGTGAATCTGGCTAGAGGTTCATCAATTTTGTTTATCCTTTCAGTGAACCAGCTCTTGGTTTCATTGATATGCATTATATATATGTGTGTGTGTGTGTATATATATATATATATATATATATATATATATATGTGTGTGTGTGTGTGTGTGTGTGTAAGATTGAATTTAAACTTCTCAGTCAACCATTAGAGATACCTCTAAAATCTAACCCTCTTGATTTACAGTGCTCTGCTTACTACTCTCATTACCCCTCATTGTAATCTTTCTGATGAACCTCTTGGCATACATGCTCATCCTTCCTCAGTACATATACACATGCACACTCACTTTCTCTCTCTCTTAGTTTCATTTACTCATTCACTCTTGTTCTTGTCAGATTGGCTCAGTAATTACTGTCCTTTTCTTTTATACTATGTTGTTCCTTTGTTGCCTTGAATTCCTCAACATATATAACCTATCACCTTCAATGAAAAATCTAGTCCAAATTGGTACCTTTTTTTTATGTTCTAATTGTATTTATTTATGTCTGATCACACAATTTATCATTTAGTCTTGGTTGTTTAATACTTATGTAAGGCTTTTCCTTTCAGTGTACTTGATGGCAAGGAATATAAATGTGTACTGGATTATCCACAAAATTTATTGGCTTGTACTGTGTGCTTTTATGTGTAAAATAGTTTCTTACAGTTTTGAGTCTTTTTTTTAATATTATTGGGAGAAGGCATATATTAAAAGTCTCTTATTATTTATCTTATAGGAAACACCTTTTCAAGGAGAAATGAAGAAGAAAACTGTCTATACCTTAAATGTTGGCGATCAAGAGTATGAAGATATGGAAGGTAAATTCTCATTTTTATAAAGCTTGTATGTTGAAAACAAAGTTAGTGTTTTAAACTGTTCATTTTTATACATTTCAAAATACACAGAAGTATTTATTTTATTTATTTTTGTTCTTAAATTCTGAAATAAGCTACCTGAATAAGAAGTCTGCACATTCCCTCCCTCCCACTCACATCTTATTTTCAGTTGATCTAGGGTTTTGGTTTCTTGAATTTTTTTTTTTTTCTTCTTAAATTTTTGCTCCCTACTTTTTTAGGAATTACATACTTTCTTTGTTTTGTTTTTAAAATAGCACTGATATTTTCCTCTGTTTCTAAAGTTAATATTTTAACCTTAGAACACTTAACTCTTATCATCCTACTCTAGATTTATATGTTATAGTCTTTCATCATTTTGGTATCTTATTATTTTTTTCAGAACATCACAAATTAGATGATATTTGATACAGTAGTATTTGAGGGGTTTGTTTGTCTCTATTTCTTTTCTTCTGAAAAAACCTTAAGTTCCTTTACTGGAAAGTCTGTTGGTGATTAACTCTAAATAAGTTTTTGTATTTATTTTTTCCTCTTCAAAACAATTCAAAGACAGATATACAGTTCTGGATTGATAATTTTTTTACCACTTCCTATAATTTCTTTTTATTATTCTATCACTTATTTAGCCTTTTTTTTTTTTTCTTACTGTCTAGAAATCTGTTTTTATCCTCAATTGTCATTCCCTTTTAGGTAAACTGTCTTTTCTAACTCTTTGCTTTTAATATCATTTTCATCTTTAATGTTATACAGTTTTATTACATTGTTTCTAGGCATGGATTATTTTCATATCTCCTGTTTAAGTATACCTTGTGTATCCTTTATCTGTTGGATTGTGTGTGTGTTTTTTGTTTGTTTAATTTTATCATTTCCTAGTCATTACTGCTTTAGCCATTGCCTCTCCTTTATTCTTTTCCTCTAGACTTCAATTAGTATGTTAGACTTTGTTCTGACCTCATTTCCCAATCTCTTTTAAAGGTTACATCTCCTTGTCTATCTCTTACAATCTAAGTAGTTTCCTTAAATCTCTCTTCCAGTCACAAATATTATTTTCTTCTAAGGCTAGCCTGCTGTTCAAGCATTCTATGTAGTAGTTGAAATTCTTATATTTAAACCCAGTGTGTATCTAAATAAATCCTACATAATAAAAGTGTAATATGCTAAGTGTCTGACAGATCTGTCAACTATTCAGTCAACTGCTCGACCAGTCACTATGACGCACACTGACTCTAGGGGGCAGAGGCTCTAACTGGTAGGTTAGCTTGCTGCTGGGGTCCGGCCCCTTGGGACTGGGCGAGAAGGCCAGACATGTCCCTCCATGGCCAGCCGGCCCCCATTGGCCCCGATCAGGACTGGGCGAACTGGCTCTGATTGCCAGCTAGGCCAAGGAACCCCACCAGTTTACGAATTTGTGCACTGGGCCTCTAGTTTATACTAAATAAAGATAATATATAAATATAAAAAATAAATTATTTATTCTGCAGATTCTTACTCAAAACTGTTTATTTTCTTGTGTTTGGCAGTGTTTGATTATGTGCTCATAATTGATAAATTTAATCTGGAAACCTGGGGGACTAAATTAGGAATACTTTGTCCAGCATAAAATTTGTTTTTCCCTAACCAATTCTGGAACCACTAGTACTATTTGAGGGTCTTCGATTAATATGGGAGTCTCTCAGAAACAGTTTGTCCACCTGGGTTGGTCCTGATGGTTAATCTCCAGATCTGAACACTAGTGCAGACATTTGCTCCCAGGATGATCCCACATTTTCCATTTGTGTGGTGTATACTTTTCATATTTCAGCCGACCATTTCTTTTATTTTTATTTTATGTTGGATCTTGGTGTTTCCTGTATTTGTTTTGAGTTAGCAATGCGTAACTTTGTATATTGGTTACATGGCAGGCTGGATGTTTAAATTAGTGCAAACCATACGGGGTATAATTTGGTGTACCTATTGGTGTTCAAATTAGAAATATACAAGCATACTGATCTAGAATTTCATTTTTATGACTTTAATCCTATGTGTTATTAAAAACATGAAGCTTTCAATGACATAGTTTTTTTTCTTCAGCATTATTGTAATAGCCAAAGGTTAAAAATAAGTGATCATTCAATAGGTCAACCGAACAAAAGCAAACTGGTGTGTTATTGTGATCTAGCATTTGTATGATGGAGGTTTGAAAGAACATGCATTAGGATTTGCTTGTCTACACATTGAAAATTCCTTGAAAAGACAGAGAAGAAACTTAGTTGTGAAACATTGGGTAGAACTGGATGGTTAGGTATAGATATGAGTGGGTGATTTGTCACTACAAGTACAATCTTTTTTTAAATTTCTAAATTTTTTAACCATGTCATTATTTTAAAATTTAATGAAAAATTATTTTCACTTCCTATTGGGAGTATTGTGCTTAATGAATGTATTTACTATAATGTATCTAGATTGAATTACTTTGTAGTAGAAAGGACAATTTGTAGTAGTCCATGATACTGACACAGATATAAGTCATTTGGTCTGGAGAACTTGAAAGCATATATGGCTGCTTTACTTTACAGGTGAAGAAGATAAAGATAATACTGCTACCACTCGTTTGTTGTACAGTGAAACTGACAGATGTCCAATATGTCTTAATTGCCTATTAGAGAAGGAAGTTGGTTTTCCAGAAAGCTGTAATCATGTCTTCTGTATGACCTGTATTCTTAAATGGGCAGAGGTGAGTTTTAAATATTAAATGTTAAATGAATATTATATTTTAGTTTCTTACCATGTCTTCATTCCACCTAATCTAAAACGACATTGCCTTTCATAAATTATTTCACAGCATTATGTGTTTCCTTAACTTTGGGAAAAAAATTCTTTGTATTATTCTAATTCTGTCAGTATATTTTCCTTTTATTTTTTATTCAACTTTTTATTCTTTTATTAAATACATGCATACCTTAAAAAAAACAAAGTTAACCTTATAGGCATTAAGTATTTTTTTTTTTTTTTCTGTTAGGATACAGTAATTCCTCTTCAGTGTACTTGACCTTCTTGAGATAACTGTTTATTACTAGTAAACACATTTTTTGCTTGCTTTATGTTTTATATTTTTCAGAGGATTTTTACATAGATTGTTTGTGTTCTTCTTTATATCAGCCTTGTGGAATAACCAGAGCAGATGCAATAGTTTCCTTCCAGTTTACAGATGAGGAAATTTATTATTTACATTCAAATTGTTTGAATTCCCTAAGCACATTGAAATTAATCACTTATCACATAATTGGGATTTTGGAGTTCTATGATTTACTTATATCTTCATTAATAGTGTGGAAAGGAGAACATAACTGTATACAGACTATGGCTGAGGTTTGGGAGAAGGAAAAATGATTTGTACCAATTGAATTCATAATAGTATACTTGGAAACAGTTCTGTTTAGATTAAAATCTAGACTGGTCTTTGGCAGAAAGGGTCTGAGGATGGGTGAAACAGCGTTTTGGGAAAAAGTATTTTGGCTTAATTATTTTATATAATTATAAATTTCTGTTTGAAGGAGCATTGATTTAAGAGTGCTTATTTTTCTATGCCATTCAACTAAAGATTTCATCTGTGATGAGTTTAGTGCATCTTGGTTTGCTTTGTGATTAAATTTTTTTAAATAGGGATTTTTGCTTCCAGTAGAGAAGCAGTATTACTGAATGGGTAAAAGACTTCAATTCTGTACTTTTCATAAAATTACTTTTCAGTGATTACATAATTGTGAAGTTCAACAACATAATCTGAGTATGTGTTTTACTCTTATGAAAATTATAGTTTATAAAATAGACATGATTCTCCATTCTTCCTTTACACTCCACATGTATCTTTCAAACAGACGTAAGCTTTATTATGGTCGGTGTATGTGTTCTAGGTTTCTCTAGGATTTGTATCTAGAGGTGTGCACTAAGTACATATTGAACTCTACTAGTCAGTGCTAAACTTACCTAGTTTTTAAATTGTTGAATATTTTAAAGTTGAAAAGACTTGATAATATACATAGTGTTAAATTCAAAACCTTTCTTGTGTGTAATATTTTCTTTTGTGTTACTCTTTTAGATATAAACATTTTGTTGAAGCCAAATTGCTTTTAAAAGACAATACTTATCTGCTGTATTGCCATAAATTGTGATGAGGGTGGAATGGAGGTGTCGTGGTATTGTTTAAATAAAAGTAATTACCATGAAAGTGGAACATAAATAGAATATTCTGAATTATTTTGTTGTCACTAATTGGGATAGGAGCCATCAAATAAACCATTAAATAGAGCATTAAGAGCACAATCAACTAATAATTTATTCATTATATATAATAAATGAGTACTGGTTAACAAAATTACTTCATCTTTGAACTAAGTTTTTAGTTTGAATCTTTTATTGATCTGTTAAAAATTAGATGTGTTTTAAAGTATATATATATATATGCTGTGACAAATAGAATCAGATTTTAGATTTGCTAGTGGTTTTTTAAATTTTTTATTGATTTCAGAGAGAGGCAAGGAGAGGAAGAGAGATGGAAACATTAGCGATGAGAGAGAATCATTGATCTGCTGTCTCCTGCACACCCCTGCAACTTGGGCATGTGCCCTGACAGGGACCAAACTGTGACTTCCTGGTTTATAGGTTGATTCTGACCCACAGAGCCCTGCCTACAGGGCATTAATGGGGGTTTTTTCATGATGGTTAGCTATTAAGCTCTTTCCTCTAATTTTCCTAAATCTCTTCCTGTTTTTAAAATAAGGCATGCAGTTTACTTTGGATTTCAGGATTAGGAAATATCTATATTCAGAGTCTCCTAATTGGCCTGGCCTTATGCTAAAGCTTTCTTAGATATTCTGTCATTTAAATCACTTTGTCAATGTTCATCTGATATTTTAGACATGGATTCTGAATGCTAATTTGTTTTTAAATATTTCAAGGGATATCTTAAAATTAAAATAAGTTTTAAAAATTGATCTATTTAAAATTTTGCTAATGTTCACTTTTAATAGGAAAATAGAAATCAAAGTGAGATTTACAGCATGTGTGTGTGTATTAGGGCTCTAATATACACACACATACATAGTAAGAAAACAGTACAAAATGTATTCAGGATCATCTTCCTAGTCTTATGTGTCTTTCAGAAATTCAGCTGAGCTATCTGAAAGTTTGTACTAAGGTTCATTAAAATATTCAAAATGGATATCAAGTACCAAAAGAGAAGGACTCATTTTTTATTTCAAGTTAACATTTTAGGCATTGAAAAAGTTGTGCTCTGTAAGGGACAAGAAAAGTTAAGGTATATAATAATCTAGGGTATTTGTTTTGGACACATTCCTGAACTTTTTTGTGCTCTTAAAGTATCTATATCCAAAGTCAAAATTAGTTTCAATCCCTTCAAGGTCTAAAATTTGGGTTCATTGGTTATTTAAAACAAAAGCCATGTAAGGACTTTAAAGTGATTAACTTAGTCTTTAGGTATTTCATAGAATCCACTTTACCTGGGACAGAAGATTTAGGATAATGGAACCTATAGAGGCCTAAAAGGCCCATAGCCTAATTGCTTGCCCTTGAGGATACTAGAACAAATCCAGATTAAGCATATCCTCTATAACTATGTTTAGTTTTAAGCAACTCATAATAGGTAAGCCTGTTGGTTTATAAAATGAGTACTGGTTAACAAATTGTAGGAATAGAATGTTGAAGTAAACAAAGACATAGTATTTGACAAGTAATTAAGGAAAACTGAATTATTTGTTAAAGAATCAATATTAGAGCTGAGAATCTGAAACTAAATAAAAGATAGCCTTTAAACTAATGAAATATGTAGGGACAATACACTAAGTATATCAGCCCCAGAAAGTTATTTATTTTACCCATACTGTGAGCCAAAATACAGTCTAAATATATTGAGAGTTTTTAATTTGCACACAAGTTTAACACATTTTAAAGTTTAGTTATGCACTGCATAAAGATATTTTGGTCCACTATAGACCATGTACACTGAGTGGCCAGTTATTATGATCTCTGAATGCATAATAATCTGGCCACTCAGTATATATCCTATATAATAAAAGGCTAATATACAAATTGTCCCCTTGACCAGGAGTTCAACCAGCAGGCAGGCCGACCAATCGCCCAAGTGCCCTCCCCCTGGCCAGACCCCACCCATGCACAAATTCATGCATCAGGGCTCTAATACACACACACACACACACACTTGAGTGGCCAGATTATGCATTCAGAGATCATCATAGTCTGGCCACTAGGTGTATATGACAGTGGTCATATATATATATATATATATATATATATATATATATATATATATATATATATATATGGCTAATATGCAAAGTGTCCCCTTGGGAGTTTGACCAGGAGACCAGGAGTTTGATTGCTCGCTATGATGTGTGCTGACCACCAGGGGGTGGCATGGAATGAAGGAAGGCTCCAGCTGTCAGCTGGGAAAGGAAGACCCCTGCTGGCAGCCAGCAGCCAGAGAAGGGAGGCCCTGGTTGGCTCTGATCACCAGCCAGGCCTCGGAACCCTACCCATGCATGAATTTTATGCACCAGGCCTCTAGTAAGATTGTAATGGAGCTAAAAAAAATTCCTTTTACCTTCAAGTCATAGCCATTATAGCATTGTAGGGCAATGCATTACTCATATATTCGGGGTGATGTTGGTGTAAACAAACTCACTGTGCTGCCAGTTGTATAAAAGTATAGCAATACCATAATATATATGATACTTGATAAGATAAACAACTATGTTACTGGGTTATAATTTACTATATTATACTTTTAATTGTTATTTTAGAATTGTTACTCTTTCTGTCTATTAAAAGTTTGCTATAAAGCAATATGCTGTGTTAAACTGGCAGCAGTATCATATATATTGTGAATAGTGAATATCATGTTTCTTGAGTGCATCATTTTAATCTCTATTGTTTTGTATAGTCACATGCTGTACAGGCTTAAAGCCTAGGAGCAATAGCTATAACACATAGTGTAGGTTTTCACAACAATGCAGTCTCCTAATGATGCAGTTGCACTTTTCAGAATGTGTCCCCTGGCACTTAACTGTCAGTAATTAGAAAGGCGGAAACTAGAGAAGCCTGACACGTGGCTGTGGTAGTGACAACTGATTATTATTATGAACCCTCATAGACCAGAGGATACCCTCTTCACACACATACTGGTTAAGGAAATAGGGTTTATGATTTGACAGGTTTCCAAGAAGTGGTTAAATTTTGGCTCTTAAGAAGTTAAAAGTTTGAGAACTTGGAAACATTTCATGCTTGAAGTGTTCAAGAGTTTTTACTGTATTTAAAGGGACATGCAATAATATATTGATTACAAAGTTCTTGATATCCACCAGGGTTCTTTTCTGTTTTAAGAAATAATATTTTAAGTAGTTTGTGAAAAATGTCATTAACTTTCTTACTATAAGCAAATTACCCTCCTTCAATTTATTTATCTTAGCCTTCCATTTCATATCAAGTGCCGACAGCTTCAGTTTGAGAAAGTAAGGTTAATGAAATAAAAATTGGACAGTTGATTGGGTCTCAAAAGAACTGTTGCCCCAGAAAGAAACTCACTTCAGACTGATTCATTTGCCTTTCAGCATAACCATTATTGCTTGTCTCATTTTTGATTCTTATAAGTATATTTCTAGTAGGACATGATCTCACTCATCTAGGGGAAATGGTGAACAA